TTATAGATATTAAAGAAATAATATATAGTAAATATAAGTATATAGAATAGGCGAAAACGCCCTATAAAATAGATATTTCATATTCTTTTAAAAGTCTTTATAATACCCTTACTATATACCCGAATTATCTTATTAATATTTGGATCCCGGGCTAGTTCCTCTAAGAACTTACTAGTTAAAGGCTTATAATTTACTATATTATATATCTCCTTAAAGCTATTATATATCTATAAGTATACCTAGCCTTAGTAATACTTATAGTAATATCGGGAGATTACTAGTATTATATTAGTAATATTTCGGAATATAGTAGTTATATAAAAGATAAGCTTTATAGACTTTCTATACTCGCCTAAGTTAGCCCATTTAGTAAAGGCCTTAAAATAGTAGGTATAAAGAAAGTATATAGTCGGGACATATCTATTAGTATTAAGTAGCTACTCAAGTAGTATAAATTAGATTAAGATAGTTTCTTTTACTAAATCGGTATAGATTCGGAACTAATCCAGTTTCGAAAAGTTAAGAACTAGAGATAATATAAAAATAAAAGTGTCTTATATCTCTAATAAGATATTGGCCTTAAAGTTAAATTTGGTATTCTTATTTAAAAAGTAAATATAAGTATTATAATATAGCTTATTATTATAAAGGGGAAATTACCGAATAATATTATACCAAATTACTTATAGTATATGACCTTAAACTATATAATAAAGAAATATTACCTTAGCTTAAATATTATTATTATATATAGAACTAATATTCTCTTATTAATATATCTCGGCTTTGAGTTTGGTATACTCCTAATTAAAAGAGATATACTAGTAACTTATTAGTAAAATATTACGGAATATAGCTAGTAAAAGGATCTTATTAAACTAATATTAGAGAATAGAAAATGGGGTACTACTACTATATCCAGGAAATATAGTTTTCTTTATAGGGTCCTATATAGAAGAAAAGAAAATATAAATATAAATATTCTTATAACTAATTATATAACTAAAGTAATAGTAAGATATCTTATAAAAGGCTACTTTCTGAACCTTGGGCCGGTCAGGATTCGTTATAAAATTAGTAATATTTATATATAAATATATAGAAATAGAGATATTTTATTAAAAACAAGGGTATAAGTTAACTTGAATTCCTTATTAGATAAAAGAAAGATAATTAGTATATCTATAAAAGCTATTAATATTATATTATCTTAAACCTTTATAGTAGTTTATCTAAGAGTAAAATATATATAAATACGGGTAATAGTCTGGAATATTAGCTACTAGTTCGATATTATTTTCGTTATAATTTACCCGTAATATATTAAAGTTAAGCTTATAAAAGGTACTATTATCTAAATTATTATTATTATTATCTATAATCTGGCTATTAGGTAAATGGTTATTATTATTATTTATAGTAAGACCGGTAAATATAGCTTGCTAATTAATATTTCTAATTACTATATATTTTTACTAGTTTATTATTTACTCTAGATATAATAGTTTATTATTTTATTTACTAAGACTATAATTTGAAAGAAAATTATAGTATTATAGAAGTATAATATATTATTTAGTAAAATAAAAGAGATCTTGTCTATTATTGGATTCGGTATACTACTTATTTATATATCTTTAGAAATCAAATAAATAATAAGCTAGCTCCGAAATATAGTTAATTAGTAGTCTATTAGGTCTAGTAATCTCGGCTTATAATTGAGCTTCTAATTCTGCCTTGTCCTTATTATTGCCCTTATTCTTGTCCTTAGTCTTAGTATTTTTATTATTAATAATTTAGTTATTCTTAGTATTATTATTATTTTTATTAATACTATTATTATTATCTGGATAAGGTATATTAGGGGTCTTTTTAGAGACAAAGTCGGGATTATTACTATTATTATTATTATTACCCAGAAGTAGTTAGTTTAGGAAATACTCGAAACTAGGCTAGTTACTATTTATAAAAAAGGAAATATTTGCTTGTAATTTGCTATATAGCTCTTGGCTATTAGGCTCCGTTTTACTATTATATTCTGGGAAACTATTATTGAAATTATTAATACTATAATTACTATTATCTGGGGTTATACTATATAGTAAGAGATTATAACTCGGTAAGAAATCCCTATTCCGGTCTCATAAATTTGGAGGTTCCAGATTAGTATCCTAGTAAATAGTTAGTATTTAGAAAATAGATTATTAATTCCCTTAAGGTTAACTAATAGGTTCTAATTCCTTATTACTTATATATTACAAATACCTAATCCTATAAGCCTTACTAAATTCGTAGCTCATTTATATAATAGGCTCTATAGAATATATATATATCTATCCCTTATTTCTCGGTTATAAGTATCTAGAAGATTCGTATTTATAGTAGATTTATAGAGATATAGTTATTAATTCAGTAGTAATTAGCTAGAAAGCTACTATATTTTCAGAAGAATTATAAGATAGAATAGTATTTATAATATTTGGGCTTAAGTAAGAAGTCTTTTAGGTCTTATTAGGGATCTCTTGGGTCTTTCTATAATATTTACTATTAGGTAATTATTATTTAATATTTCGTTTTCGGATTCTCGTAGATAAATAGATAGTAATTTCTTATTTAGTTAGTAATAACTCGGTACTTTGCCTTCGAATTCTAGCAGATTTGCAAATAGTAGGCTCTTATATTATATAAGGTAGGCCTATACTCTATAATAAAAGTCCTATAGAATCGGATATAGATCTTTAATATCTGGTTAATAATTCTTATATATTTCGAGGTTAAATTAATAGTATTTGAAAGCCGAGTAGCTTTATACTTGAAGTACTTATAGTATTTAAATATTCTTGGATATAGTAAAAAGGTAATATATATAAAGAGTTAGGCTATTATATAATTGGAGTTAAAAAGGTCGGTATATCTAAGAAAGAAGGTTATAAAGGAGGAGGAGATTATTAAGAAGGAGGTTATTAAGGAGGAGGTTATTAAGGAGAAGATTACTAAATAGTATTTAAAGAAGCTAGGAAAAGGCATATATTAGTTATTAAATCTATAGTAAATAGAAGAAGCTTAAGGGAATATAAGTAAGTAAATAATAATCTATTAAATTAGGATCTGGAACTTATTAATACTTTTCCCGCTAGTATATTTATCTAGTTATATTACTTTTATACCTTATTTCTTTCTTTTCTTCTTTGCTTTTTTTTAGGTAAGGTATTCTTAGAGAATTAGATTCAGAAATAAAAGGTTAAAATCCGGTAATAATTTGCTAAGGGTTCGGGAGTAAAAGGCTATTAAAGAATTAGCTTATTTAGAAGTAATATCTAAAAAAATTATTATTAATTATACTAAGAGTAAAAGGGGTTTAGATTCAGGAAGCGCCTTTAGCTTTAATCTCTAAGCGAGTTTTAAACTCTCGGTAATAAATTTATTATATATATTATAATATATTAAATCCTAAAATATATACTTTCTATTATAATATATATAATTAATTTAGTACTTAATTTATAGCCTTTTAGGGCCTTAAACCAATATAAAGAAAGTTATTAATAATATAATATTGGTTTTATTAAGATATATATATTATATATATTATACTTTTTTGGCTCTTAATATATATATTCTTGCTATAAAATTGTAATTAATCTACTATATAACTAATATATAATATATAGCTATAATCTTTTAAAAACCTGGTAATATATAATTATTTCGGTACCTAACTTATAGCTATTTGCCCGTTATTTATTAAGTTATTACTAATATTATATATATTACGCTTTTTTGGCTCTTAATATATATATTCTTGCTATAAAATCGTAATTAATCTGCTATATAACTAATATATAATATATAGCTATAATCTTTTAAAAACCTGGTAATATATAATTATTTCGGTATCTAACTTATAGCTATTTGCCTATTATTTGTCGAGTTATTACCGACGTTATATATATTACGCTTTTTTGGCTCTTAATATATATACTCTTGCTATAAAATCGCAATTAATCTGCTATATAACTAATATGTAATATATAGCTATAACCTTTTAAAAACCTGGTAATATATAATTATTTCGGTACCTAACTTATAGCTATTTGCCCGTTATTTGTTAAGTTATTACTAATATTACGTATATTATGCTTTTTCGGCTCTTAATACGTATACTCTTGCTATAAAATCGTAATTAATCTGCTATATAACTAATATATAATATATAGCTATAACCTTTTAAAAACCTGGTAATATGCGATTATTTCGGTACCTAACTTGTAGCTATTCGCCTGTTATTTAATATCGAGTTATTAACTATATGATTTTGGTAAGGGAGCTTCTCGCTAATATGTGTTTTTCAAAACCGCCTCGCTTACATGCCCGCTTTTCAGGCATTTGACTATATTATAAATCTATTTTTAGACTTTTTAGCCGCTAGTCTAGCTTTATACTATTATAAGAGCTTATATTTAAATTTTGGGCTTTTATATAAGAAATAGCCTAAGTTAAAAATTATTTGTGTTTTTAGCTACTTTCTAGCTTTACTTATTAATAACCTAGCTTATATAAGGCCGATTCTTATAAAAAGTGGGTCCAAAAATCGGCCAAAATTAGAAGATTCGATATATAAAATTTTCTATTAAGTTTATTAATACTTTTAGAGGGTACCATACGACTTTCGAATTCCTTGGTACCCTCCTAATAAAAAGTCATGGTACTCTCAGAGAGTACCATAGCGGGGTGGTATAGGTTTTCCGCCACGCAGGGACGGACGTTACTGCTTTACTATACACACCTGGTGCATTATCCAGCTCTTAAGCTTAACTACCGCTTAGGTCTTAAGCAGACAGAACTGCTACTTCTATCCAACCCCAAGCAGAACTACTATCCCGGTCTGAAGCTTAACTATCTGTATCCTCATCGTCTATTCCGACGTCTCTAGCATCAGTTTGGCACTTGGATCCAGCTCGTCTGTCTTGTACTTGGGGAACTTTGGTGCGAATTCGACTACTTTGCTAATATTATATAGAGAATGCCTCATCCTCATCCATATCTACGCCACTGTCAAACGAGTCTGAGTGTGTCTCTTCCTCCTCTATTAGTTGCCAACGTTGTTTTCTCTCAGCTCGCATCTGTTGCCGCAGAGCAGCCTTTTGCTTCTTTCTTCGTTCTTTCTCAGCTCGAATCTCTTGCAGCTGTTGGCGCTGAGCCTCCTTTTGCTTCTTTTTTCGTTCTCGCTGAATCCTTTGCTCGATGGCTGCGACGGCAAGAACCCGCTGTAACTCCGCCTCCTTCTGTCGAACGACATGTCTTTGCCTCTTAGCACGCCGATCAACACGCTCGTCGTCAGAAGTATCGTCGCCAGTCTCTTCCTCATCCTGGCTGTCAGTCTGCACTGTTCGTCTTTTGCGACTACACCGGAGCTCTCGATATGTTTCTTTCTCATGCTTGAGTTCTTGCCGCATTTGGTTTACCTTGCTGGCCCCCTTAGGAGATGCCTTCTCCCGTGGAACGACCGCCTCAGGCTCCATGAAGAACAGCTCAACCTCGACCTCACTATGCCCAGCCTCGTCTGTGTGATATTGCAAAAGTTGCCTCTCAGCAGCCAGTTGCAAGACCCCCTCATAGACCTCACTTTCTGATAAATCAAACAGATTATGCTCCGCCTCGACCTCGTAGGGCATATACTGTGTCGGGTCTAGAGACAATCTCCATCCGTTGACCGGGTAATGATTGATATGGGACCAGCTGAATGGTTGCTTCAATACACTATGCTCTTCCTGATTCTGCTAATATGCATGCACACCAGCGTGGTAGCTAGACCACCAGCAGACTTGTTGCGTCCCCCCTTGCCGTTTCGTAAACCGGTCTCCTTGCGGATATGGCAAGATCCAATGGCTTTGGATAAACGAATTCTTCAGCTTGCGCCTCCATTCTCGAGCATGTCCGTTTCCTCGCAGGAGTCGAATCGTCTCAGAACTACGTTGATAAAGCAAACGATATGGCTTCTCGTTCCAGTGCTTCCTCTGGAACTGGTCGTCTCCCCATCCCCATAGCCAAGCGAAGAGCACATCAATGCTTTGCACAGTGAGTCGTTTCCCCGCCACAATATGCACCGGGCGGTGTCGGGACCGCAAAACACGGTTTACATTCGGCCAGCACAAAAACACCTCTCCAGCAAGCGCTCTTCGACATACTCTTTTTTTAGGAGGTGTTTGATTTGCTGGAAGATATCCTTTCGGAATGCACACAGACATATCTGCAGCAGGGCATCCTCAAGAAAAGCTTGACAGGCAGGGATCTCATCAAATTCTTGTAATAGCTACTGGATCTTGTTGACTCGGATAAAGTCCTCTCGAACATCACAGATCCGACCGTACCGTGCATGATAGGCTTGTTGCATAGATGGATTGTTAAAGAGCAAATACTGTCTATGGGGGGCGCGAAAAGTCATAGTTTCCCAGTTAACCTTCTCCAAGAACTATGGGTAGCCGTACTGGGACATGGTTACCTCAAATCCGAGGCCTTCCGTCCGGCGAAGGCCATTAGGCGTATCGCTGCTAGCAGTATATCGTACGTCCCGCCAATATCCAGCTAATTCTTGTAGTTGCCCGTACTCATAAGAAAATCGAAGGCATCGAAGAAATATGAGCATGATCCGTATATGCTTCCACGTTACCCACTAATGCCCACTCAAGCTATATACTATCTCAAACCCGATACAAAACTTATTAATATTCCACTAGTACTAAGATACACTATCACAGTCGGATAAGTGAAGTATGGCACCTCTTCGCCGGCAGAAGCAATTTTTTATTTACGCAAATTTAGTATTCCTAATTGATGATCGATAGTATAGAAAAGGGTAGCTGAGACCTGATATTCTTCTCGGATCTTAAATGATTTCTGTATTAATCCTTATATCCTATAGTAGTACTAAGCTTTGGTATATAGATATGCCTTTATAAGGGTAACCGGATTATAACTAAGGCCAGCCCTAATATACTGCCATATCTTCCGTAACTACGGGTCCAAAGCGAGTGTTTTAATAGCAGTATTAGTAAAGGGGTTTTGGTTCCTAGCCGCAAATATCTCTTTTATACTGCCGTAAAACTGGCTATATAAGAGACCCCCGGTACGAAGCTGCGAATTTATATATAGTTTAACTCCTATAGATATAGTATCTCCAAGTAGAGCCGTTAGATATAGTATCTGCTGGCATGGATCGCGCTTCTCGCTATCCCGATACTAGTTATAGTAACTATCCAAATAATACTTCTTCTAAAGAAGGATCTCTGTAGGCAGTAAATCCCTAATATCTGCGGTCGAGAGGTAGGTCTGACGTGGACAGGTCTTCTTGCTAACGTCGAAGTAGAAGTTAGCAGACAGGTAAGCCGTATTAACCGCCTCTCCCTAATACTTCCGCAAACGGGTTATTATGCCTTCCCAGGTAGAACCTTTGGTTAGCGTCTTCAGGTTCTTGGTATAGAGAAGGATAGTCACATCTTTAAACTGCTATAGACCAGGCTGCTCGATAATCTCGTAAATCGTCTCCCAAACCGTATGTAATTAGTCTGGTGGGAGAAAATGCATAATCTGCTGCTTACGAGGCAGGGAATCCACCTTTCGGGACTGGCCTTTAACTCTACGAGCAGTCGAGTTGTACTTTCCATGGTAATAGCTTGAGGGGTAGTATTGAAGCTAACTGCTGTTATAATAATAGTATATGGCTGGGAGAATAACTTGATCTATCTATGTCTGGAAGTCATTATTGAGCAGGCGGCTGCTCTGCTGGCCTTCTCGGTAGAGACGGGGGAAGAGGAGGTAGAGTGAGATATCTTCAAAGCTAATTAACCGGCCCAGCTTGTAGTATGGGATCTTATGGACTGGTCTCCGGATGGAATGGAAATGCCCATAGCTATCAAAAAACTGGACTCGCCTGCGAGTCAAGTGTAAACTGGATCGGAGGTCGGAAACTGGTAAAGTTCCACCGAATGCCCCCTTTTGCAATTCCCAGACTGGGACAAAATCCAGTAATACTGTCAATATCAAACGTCACTTCGGCTATCTGATATAGTGTATCTTCTTCTTGGAGACAAATATGCGCCGGGGCTTCCTCGGGATCGTCAGGATGGATTCCACTAAATACCCAGTACTTTTGTGCAGCTGTTATTGATCCAGCCAAGTCATTATTGTGGGGTGCAATTTGGTTTGAGCCCAGTACGTCGGGATAGCTAGACAATGCTTCTTCTTCAGACTCATCAAGGAAAGTCTGCAAGCCACGATGCAGTTCGTGCTCGTCAGCGTGTTCTCTGTTGGAATGCGCATGGCAGTCACGGCAGTACCCTTGAAATTGGATGAGTTGATTGGCCAATCGGACGGCGAGTTTTCCAACTTCAGATTCGTCCACATCTAGTACTTGGTCGTCAATATCCAGAACATCAACGTTCTCTCGTTCGATAACAGGCTCTCCAATGTCCGGTTCTTCTGTTTCGGGTTCGGATATATCCATTGAGGCCGAGCCCAGTGATGGGCTCGATGGGTGAAGTAGTTGGTCAAATTCATCTTCTATCTGTACAGCAATATTTTGATCCTCATTGTAGTAAAATTGCTCATGGTTTGGCGGCGGTAGGCCAATACTCGGGCCAGCGAGTAATTGAGGGTCGATTGGGATATTATAACCAACTTAGTCATTCCGCTAAGCAGCCTGCTGCTGGCGTTTCTCTCTTCTACGAGCAACCTTTGCTTGCTCACGCTCTCGCTCGGACGTATAGACCCTCTTTCGGCCCCGGGTTGACATGTTTGCAGATAAAACAACTTTTATTTAATCAATTGATCAACTGTTTGCTCTTCTATTAGGGTCCAAATAACTAATGTCCTCCTGAAGGTCTGTGTCAGTATCAGGATTGAATGGAGCCATACCTATAATTTACTAGTATGACCCCGAAATTAGGGGTCCCCTGACGCGCTAATCAGAAATAGGGTAAGCGGTGACCCCGAAATTCGCTAAGCGAGGCTCCTCGATATCGACACGAAAACCATGAACTTTGCACCTCTATATCTTCACAACAAAAGGAGATAAACTTATTCTGTTTAATAATATAAAGTCGCTACATATTACAGTACTTACTATTAAATTTTTGTGGCTTAAATCTAACGTTATAAGGTGACCTCCCACACCCATTTTGCTTAATGGTTTGGAGAATTGCCTTCAAGCTAGCGTACTAACAATACTACTAACCCACGAGAATCCGTAAGAAATAGGAAAGAAGAGGAAACATAGGCTAGAAATGAACTCTGTATGGGCTCGAAGTAGACTAGGACAATTCTTGGGAAATGTATTAGTAGATCAACGATAGTTGCCCTCTCGGCTCAGCCGCCGGGCGCAATAAATTGTGTATGTGTACGAACCGAGCTCCATGTGGTAGTGACGTGGTGGCTTAGGATGCGCTGCGCTCTGTACACAAATGAGACCGCAGCACGCCAAGCCAAAACGATGGTTGGACCTCTAACGACACCAACCAAAATTGCAGGAGCCTTTCTAATGTGGAGGCTCGGCATAAGATGCTAGCAGCCACAATTTTCTTTTTTCGCGGAACACAACCGCCACTCCGTGTACGCGCTCCTGGTGAGGGGTTATAAACTCTTCTTCATCACTATTACACCACTACTCAAGAATATCATTAACACCATCAACACCATCAAAACCATTGAATATTTTACAAATATTGACAGCGGTAGCGGGGAAATCCACAGCCTCGCTAAATTTTATATCTTCGTTAGCACAAGACGATATATATTACTATGGCAGCACCATTTGGTTTCTCGGTTGGTGACTTTATTGCGGTTGGCCAGCTCATTCAACAAGTCACAGTGGAACTTCGAGAGGTATGTAGAGTTGCTGTCTCGCGATACTGTTAAGCTCTCGCGCAAAAGATGCTAAAATTTGAATAATCGCATCGTAGAACGGCGAATCTGCGTCCGAATACCAGCATCTGATCATCGAACTGGAATCTCTCGACCGCGCATTAAAACAACTCTATACCCTTCGGCCTGCGAAACACGAACTCCTTCAGCTCAATGCGATCCGAGCGACAGCCTTATTATGCCAGATCCCGCTGCGCGAATTCTTGGCAAAGATATCTAAATTCGACCAAAGATTGGGAACATGGAATTCTACGGACCAGAGGTTTAAAGGGTTCCATCGACGGATGCAGTGGAGATTGGCATATCAGGATGATGTGAAAGAGCTGAGAACAAAGCTGGGGAGCCATGTTGCCACAATCTCTCTCTTGCTTATGACGCAGACTGTGTCTTCTATCGTGGGGGCAGAGACCGACCTGGCAGAAGTTGCTTGCGAGTTCCGGGACAATATTCTGGCACACAGAAGGCTGCTGGAAGATGTCAAAGTTGGGGTCGACACATCAATAGCCCGCCATGTTGAAACGAAATTACAACTTGAAAGTCAAGCGGCCGCCGTGAGAACCCTGGATCAAAAGGCAGGTCAGACGATTCAACAGCTTCACTACGAGAATGTATTGATCCAGGAAGTCAAGTTAGCAGTTTCAATTACGGAAGAGCGTACAAGATCTATTCTAGCCATAGCCACCGATGCTCTCTCTCAAGCAGCACTTGGCTTATTGACTCTTCGCGATATTGCAAGACAACTATACAATCTGACAACTTTGATCACCAAATTCACGGACGAGATAAAAGAGACCATTGCATTGTTAATGGGGCAATTCGCGCGCTTATACCAGATACTCCAACATCTTGAAACGAGTCTGGCGAAGAGGATATGTTTGCCTATTGTGCAATTCACAGATGCTTTGGGAGATTCGATGGCCTTGCCATTCCAAGTCTGCGCGCAATGGAAAACCTTTCGGCTCATGCTCGACGTGGTTTTTGATGGACGGCCCGGAAAGTCTCGGGTGGACATGGGGAATTTCCTAATCATGCATGCTGCTGGAGGTCGAGCCCTTCTCGAGAATAACTGGAGTTATGCAGTTAGGGAGGGTGACCATCTCCAAATGTCGATGGTTTTGAATGATCTTCTGGGTATAGAGGATACTTGCCCATTCCCGAGCTGCAAAGCTTCACTTCACAATGCAGAGTTGGAGAACGATGGGAAAGTATGCGCAAAATGTGGCCGGTGGTCAGTGATGAGGAAAATGGAAGGGGCATCAACTACACCGAATAACAGCCGCAGGACTTATTCTCGTCGTGCTCTCGAGGGCGTGACCGCAGATTATGAGGATTGGGAGCTAGGAGACAGCATAGTGGAAGATATTGAGCTGTATCGCTATGTACACGCAACAATTGGCGTTTCAACAGCCGATATTCAGCAAATAATCGATGCTGCAGAGATCACAGAGGAACATGCGGATATTGATGGCCGCCCTGAGAAGGGGAGTGCAAATGCATTAAACCCGCTGGATCACAAGCCGAGACCAATTAAGTTTAAGGACGCAATTGGGAGGAAATTCAGCTTCCCATTTCAGTTGTGTGCGACTTGGGCTGTAAGTACTTGTCATCGTCTTTCCTGCGATAATGGCCTAATAAGTCTCGATTTTTAGGGCATGGAGAAATTGATTACCCAGGCTTTCTTACATGTGGATGTCATCGGACCTCATGTAGTAGAAGGTCACTACGATCTAATTGGACCAAATGGGGAGATTATCCTACCCCGAGTATGGGAAACAAGTATTGAACCAGATTGGTTCATTAAGATGCACATGTGGCCTGTGCCTACGGAGGTGCCGGGGGTAAATTATGGCTTACCACCCCGGTGGCAGTATTTGTGAAATTGGCAGATCAATATGAGGAAACGACACGTGATAAGAAGATATTCTTGAATTGCTTGAGTTGCGACTACCTAGGAGCTTAAGGCTCTATATATACACTGTAATAGGCTTACTAGAAGCTTCTAAGACTAATTACAAATCAATTAGCTTTGTAATAACTACTAGAATCGTCTAGAAAGCAGAAGTCATGTGACCGGATAAGCGAATGTACTAGAATCCACCAGGAGGCACTGATTACAAATCATTAGAAATCAACAGTATTCATCGGCAGAATAATCAAAGGTGGCTCCCCTTTCATTGAAATAACTATTGTATAACACTAATATTTAGTGGACCTTCCTTCTGCAGCAATTACAGCTTCCATGCGTTTAGGCATTGACTTGACCAGCTCAATTAAGAGCCAAAGAGTAATTACAGTATTCCAAGCTTCCTAAATTTGCTCTCTTTGCACGTCGTATGATTTGAAAACGTAATCTCCGTACTTGTCTTCAAGATAATTCTTCCTGTATTTCCATACGGTCTCAATTGGATTGAGATCAGGCGAAAATGGAGGCCATTTAAAGCGAAGAATAGCATATGCTTCGATTATAGCAATAGTCTCCTTCGCAGCGTGGCCGGGAGCGTTGTCTTGCATGAATAAGAGCTCTCGTTCCTCTCCTTTCAAGCTATTATGATCAGCAAGGAATCGTGCTATAACAGGAAGAATACGTTGGCAGTAAGTCTTCGAGTTAATAGTTCCCCAATCCTTCTCTTAAAAAACGCCTGGTCCCTTAATACTCCCGTAAAAGCTCCCCTAGAACATCCATCCCTTCTTTCGTTGTATAGTACCTTCTCTTTTACATAATCGGGATCCCATTCTTCGCCAGGCTGTCGTAGTATCTTAGGGTTAGGGTCCGGGAACGGGCAGCGGGAGTCGAGGTTGCGCAGCTGGGTATAACTAAGCAGGGTCGCTTCGCTCCAGCCCCTGCGCCTGCGGGCAGGCCTGTGGTATCTGCGGGATTCGAGGCGGGTAGCCTCGGGGAAGAGACGTTCGAGGGGGGATACTACTGGAATAAGGGTTGGCGGTATTGGGGCCTAATACCAGCTGCGCACTTGGTCGCTATGGCTTCCGAGGCCCATCGGTATTGGGTCGCAATACCACGGCGAACTCGGTAATAGGCCCCAATACCGCCAACCATTAATACAGTAGGAATAATGGATAGGATATAGCTTAGTTAAACCTCGTTATAGCTTAAGCTAAGATAACTCAGTTTTATAATAGCTCTTGTTACGATATCGACTTCGATAAAGATAACTTAGTTTGGCTTAATATATGTTACTTCTAGATACTATATCTATTTAAGAAATTAGATATACTAACTAATAGACTGCAATAGTAGTTATTAGAATTCTGTATGCATTTCCTAAATTTAGCCAAATTCTTACCAAAACTCACTCTCTTTAGTACTTTGTAATATAACAAATTTATATAATATTATAAAATAAGAGCTTGTAAATATATTAAACTTATTAAATAGAGTCTCTTTTATACTAAACTTTATTTATAAGTATATAATACAGTATATTATTCAAGAATATTTAAATTTGCTAATAAATTTTGGGTAAGGTTTTTCTAGAGTATATTATAGCTATAATATAAAGATTCTGAGTTATATAAGTTAATTATATTACTTAAGATATATTAGTTTCTCAATTTTAATTAAAAGTATCAAAGAATTATTAACTTATAAGAGTATAAAGTTGCGATTTTTAGTAATAATTTTAATAATTTAGCCCGTATATAAATAATATATATAGAATTCTAACTACTACTATTAACTATTTAAAGTATTTAAGAAGATCGGAAACTTATATTACTTGAAACTATTAGTAAATATAAAAGTCTATAATGTTTTTCTAACTAGTAAGCTATATAAAGATTTAAATAATCTCTTATTAAGCTAAATATAGAATACCCCTTTACTAATTAATATTATAAGTAATAATAAGTGAGAATTAAAAGAAGTACTTATATATTATAAGAAATACTTAATTCTTTCTTATTATATTACTTAGCTTAATTAAAATACTAATTTAAATTAGTATAATACTTTTAATTTAAAGTATACTTTATATAAAATCAAGGATTTTTATCTTAGTTACCCTAAGTAAATAGAACTATTTATAAAGCTATTTAAATAAATTAAGGCTTAAAAAAATAATATAAATAATTATAATTACCTTAATAGTAATAAAGAAATAGACTAATATTTAAGGATAACCTTTTTTAAAAGAAATAAATAATTATTATAATCTAAAGAATTATATATATCTTGGCTTTAAGGCTTAATAGCCTTACTATATAGAGAAGCCAAAGACTAGAAATGAATTATAAGAACTAAGGGTTATATAATATACTAGCCGGCTAAATAGGTTATAAAAGCTTATATATTCTATAAGATAGTCTAGTAGGGCTTATACTAGAAATCAGAGTTCTATATAAATAAAGTAATTTCCTAAATAATAAAACTTTATATTTAAATTTAAATAATAACTTACTTTATTTATAATATCTTAATTCTTATTAAAAACCAAATATTTTATAACTTTATTTTATTACTAATACTAACTAATAAGCCTATATACTATATACTAGTTAAAATAAGGAATATTATAATAGTATAACAGGTAAAGCTTTCTAAAGCCTTATTTGCGGCTTAGCTAAAATTTACTAAAATTAAATAAATTAAAGAGCTTTTTTTTTATATTTAGTTACTTTTATTTCTTATTTTTTTTCTTTTAGTTATAAATTCTAAAAGACTCTTATTATTTTTAAATACTTATTATTAGTATATAAGGCTATTACTATATATAATAGCTATTTTTCTAGAATAAATATTATATTTATATTTACGGAATTATATATAGAAAGTTTATATAAGGAAACTTCGAGATTAAAGATTTTATTTTAAATTAATAAAAATAATATAAGAAATTAATAAATAATAGTTTTAATTTTAAAATAATAGATTTCTTTTACTTTTAATTTAGCTTTAATAAAAAATAGAAAAAGAAGGCAAGAGGATTATATTATATAATAATATATGTTTTTTAAGGTTCTGTTTTTATTATCTTAATTTAATTTATTAAAAGTAATTAAAATATATAATATAACTTAAAAGCCATAAAAAAGATATAATAATTAGAAAAATAAGCTTTTATTAATTATTTAATTCTCTCTCTATTAGGGCTTATAATTAAAGTAGTATATTAAAGCTATAGAGGCTATTTATATATAAGAAAGTTTAATTACTAATTAAAATTAGGACCTTTCTTTTTTATTTATATTCTTAAACTAGTTATATATCTCTTATAAATCCTAAAAGGAAATTAGATATTTATCTAAGTTTATATAAGTATTATATATATCTATTAAGGTCTATAAGTTAGCTTATATATTACTAGAATACTCTAAGATTATTTTATAAATATAACTCTTAATATTTTTATTCTTTTATAATTATTATTCTTTTATATTTATATTATAATTCTAGAAATTATAGATATCTTGGCTTTAAGGCTCGGTAGCTTTATTATATAAAGAAGTTAAAGCTAGAAATAAATTATAGGAACTAGAGTTATATAAAATATAAGATTTTAAAAAAGTTTTAGGATCTAAGGCTTTAGAAGCCTAGAAATTAAGAGCTTCTAAAGAATTAAAGTTCTATATAAATAAAGTAGTTTTTTTTTATAATAGAACTCTATATTTGAATATATATAATAATCTAATTATTACTTATAATATTTTAATTCTAATTAAAAACTAGATATCTTATAACTTTATTTTATTACTAATACTAACTAATAAATCTATATATTATATATTAGTTAGAACCAGAAATATTATAACTTAATTTCCTTATTTTATAATATTTCTATTAATTATAAAGTCTTTAAGCTAAAGCTCTTAATTTTTCTTTTTTTTTCTTTCTATTTTCCTTTAATAATATTATAGTATTCTTCTTAATAAGTTATTATATTTCTAGTAATAGTTATCTAAATTAACTTATATAAAGTTCTACTAATATCTTAGAAGGCTTTAGTATTTTATTATATAAAATAATTCTATAGTTATTTATATTTATTAAAATTATATTTTTTATTAAAAATATAAATAAAATATATATTATTATTAATAAATATAATTAAATTATAAAGTAATAATATATTATTATAAATATTTCTAGGCTATTATAAAGCCTTAAAAGAAATTATTTTAGAAGTTAGTATAGTTTTAGAAACTAATAAGATCCTAAAATCTATTTATATTATAGTTATTTTATATAGCTTATAATTTTAATATTATATATTAAACTAGCTAAATAATAAAGCTAAAATTATATACTTATAATATAAACTAAATAAAATATATTAAATTAATTACTATTTTATAATAATAAATAGCTTATATATAGCCCTAAATTTCCTAAGTTATATATACTAAATCTATAAACCAGAAAGCCTTATACTAAATTATTTAATTTTAGCTAAACTAATTTAGCCTTATAAGATATATTATATCCTAAATTAATTTTATAAAATATAATTTATTTAGTAATAAGCCTATAACTTAAGCTCTATTAGTATATAGCCTCTAAGGCTCTATTTTAGGGCTTACTAAGTTTATTAGAGGCTTTAGGCTTCTAAATTTAATAGTTCTTTTATATATTACTAAAAATAGCCTTAAGAAAATAATTTCAAAAATTATTATTTTATTTATTAAAGCTTCTAGAGTTTTAGTATTCAAAAATTAAAAATAGCCTAAAAATAGCTTAAAAAACAGCCTGTAATTCCGTAATTATAATATAAATAGCTCTTTAATATAGTACTTAAATATTATAAATAATAGAAGTTTAATAAATATATTAGCTATTATTTTTTTAATAGAAATATATTTAATAGTAATTTTATTAAAAGCTACTAGCTTTCTAATATAATAGTAATAAATATTAATATACTTAATTTAGCTATAAGCTATAAGGTTTCTAGCTAGTATTATATAACTCTAATTATTACTAAATATAGAAATTAAAAAAGTAATATTTAAATATTAGATATATTTAAGTTCCTTAAATAAAGCCCTAATTTACTAGCCTTATTTACTAGCCTCTAATAAGCTAATATACTCTAATTAGATAATAGAAATGGCTATATAATACTATTTAATAAAGAACTATATAATAGATTCTCTATTAAATAAATATAAATATCCTATAATAAAGTATTTATTTATTATATTTCTTATAAAATCTATATTACTAAAGCTTTAAAACTTAAAGCTTTTAGTATTTCTAATATTATATAAGATATTATAATTTATAATATCTTTTAAATAATAAAATATCTTTAATATAATAGGTTTATTATAATACTAGCTAAGCTATCTAATTATATAAGTAATATTAGAATAAGCGTTTTTTAAAACTTATATAATATAGCTTATAGCTTTCTAATATAAGCTCTAATTAGCCTATTTCTTTTTTAATTATTTTATAATTAGGGTATTTCGATTATTTATAAGGAGATTTATAGGCTTAGCTTTTCCTAACCTAAATCTCTTTATAAGACCTATAATATATTTATTTTAATTAAGATATAAAATATATTTTATATAATTTTTATATACCTAAATATCTAAAATTAGAGCTATATTTCCTAAATTCTTAATTTCCTATAAAGAGGCTATTTTATTAATAATTTTCTAAATAGCTTATAAATCTTAATTTAGAACTAGTATATTATTTATATAAAGTCCTATAATTATATTATAATTTATAATAATAAAGATATTTGATTTACTAAAATAGAAACTAAAACCGAGAATTTTAAATCTTATATAGGCTTTAATATATTACTTCTTCTCTAATTACTTAAGCCTATATAAGAAATTAAATAAAAGAAATATTAAATCTTTAGTATATTTTAATATTTAAGAAACTTATATATATATTTTAGTATAGAGCTTAGAATATAAATAAATATTAATTATATTAATTTAATATATTTTTAGGTTCTTATAAGTCTCT